TATAAGATAAGGTGCGGAATCGAAAGAAGCTTGGAGAGCGACATTCACGGAGGGCGTCGTCGCATGTACCAAGCAAGATAATGCAGAGGCAACAATGACGGAACTGAGTCGCCAGGAGGCGAACAACGCTGACCCCGACACCATCTCTGCAGCTGGCGGCAGAGAATAGGTGTCTTGAAAGGTGTAAACAAGTGTGAGCTAGCGAGCTACTCCCGGTTCAACTAGCTAGCAAGCGGGCATCACGGGTGGGGATGTAAGCCCGATCTCGAAGAGCAGTCGCGACGAAAGTCTTCAATGAAGGAGCCAGCCTTCGGACAGTCAGTCAAATGCTCGAAAAATCACTATCCAAAATTGAGATATGCAGAAGTTAACAAAGGCATGAATAGTGCACTGCTTACATCTGGTCAAAGGATTCTGGCCACTTCGCGGGAGGAAGACAGCTGCTACGGCGGGCGCAGCGGCCAAACGCGCAGGACTTCCGTGTCTTCTATCCTCCGCTCTCATTGGTGGGCTGGCTGTTGTATGGACTATCATAGATGGATGTTAAGGACACTGGAAATATAAGTGTACAGTACAATCAAGCATGGTCTTAATTATGCAGTCCCTTAACTCCAAAATATGATCACAGGCAAATGTCAGCCTCTTTCAAAATCCGCTCCCAATTCATCTCATCAGAGCTGTCAGGCAATGCAGCATCGCGAGGCCCACTTTGTATGGGAAGCACCTCCCCCTGGGAAAGACATAGGGGACGCTCGACGTTTGTGGGCACCTAAGGTAGTGAATTGAGGCCGATGGAAGTATAAGGGATGTACTGCGGGGATCGCGTAAGCCAAGTTTGCTAATCAAATCCAGGCCTAACATTGAAGAATTGCTGCCAGAGGCTACGTCCGTAGACACCGTCTCATAAAACAGAACAGGGATTGTAATTCTTGTGATCTCATTCCTTCATTAAATACATGGTCATTATCATTTGCTCCAGTCAACTTGATGACTTGAACTGCTTTTTTCTGCATTCTTTGCTTTTTTCTGCAGAAAATTCTGCGCTTTCCCAATGCCAATGAGAGACAGACTTCTCTCGAGATCGTTTCCGGAACGCCAGAAGTCGATCTATGCTAGCTCGAATCACATGAGATACTCAAAACACGAAGAAGAAACCTTAAGTAAACCTTATGCACCTGAAACCTTTGACCGTCTTGAAAACACCAACATGACTAACCTGATAGACTCCAAACATGTACCAGTAATGAAAGCATCCAGGCTTTTGTCTTTCCTGCTTTTGGTGTGGGGGAAAAGCATGTGGTAAAACGCTAAAATGAAAGAGAAAATAAGTGTGTGAACAAGTAGTAGTACTGCAACAAGAGCCTTAACGCGAGTCCGTGCTCGACTGCTTCGAATGGGCTTTCTTGCGGTTGGAGGCTTCCCACAGGAGCCGCCGGCGTTTCATTTCATCAATCTCAAAGAGTGACTCTTCTTCCGACCGACTGGGCACATTTTCAGACCGCACCGCTAGAGCACTCGTGGATCTCATCTTCTTGAGACTTTTGACCTTGCCGGACTCGCCCAACTTGCGAAGCTCGCGAGTCAGCCGCTCCAACGCAGAGCCCGATTTGTGCCTGGTCGTGGGAGGTGGAGGCAGAGGTTTCTCGAGAATATCCTCGACTTCCTTGCTGCTCTCGCCCCCAGCGGCAAGAATCTTCTCCGCGGAGCCGAAACTGATCCCGGAGTCAACCTTGCGGCCTTTGTGACCACGGGTCTGAGATTCAGTACTCTCTTCAAAACTGGCGAGCCCAGTGACCGTGCTACAGTCATCGTAAATGTCCAAGGCCGCACGAAGGTAGCGATCGAGAACATCCCGGACTACAGGCCAGCCATTATCATCGCCGGGCAGTGCGCCCTGAACGATAATCTCGTTGAGCACTTCCGGGCCATTGCGCCCCACAGCCGCAATGTACCTGAAGAAACCATCGCGCTGAGACCTCAGATGGTCAGGCGTCAGGTACGAGGTCGGAGGTACAGTTGCGTCGGTAACCGGGGGGAACAATGTGTTGAGCATTGCGATGCAATTGGCCTTATTAAAAGGTTCCATCAACATCTCGTTGATCAGAGTCTAAAACGACCTTGTTAGCGAGAAGACAGCTGAGTGAGAAGACGAGGCACATACCCAGCGACGCAAGCCAACATAGACTTGGGTGTAGAGAGCCTCGATGCGGCGACCGCGAGAGTTGAGGGACTCGAGCCAGGTGATCGCACCAGGGTACTTTTTGGCGAACTCGGACGACTCCTTTACATCCTCCGGCTCGACACCCAGTCGCTGCAAAGCGGCAGCAACCTCCTTCCGACGGCGGATTTCGAAATCTTTGAGGTAGTCCAAGGCGGTCAATGCCTGAGGGAAATCGACCTCTACCAATTGAGGGGTGAAGCAGCGACGCACGAAGGAGGTGACGAAGCTGGGAGGCAGGTTGCATGGCTGCGAGGGCAAACGGGAGATCTGATGGCTCAATTGAGCCCGGAAATCAGCAGCGAGATCCATCGAGTCTTGAGAAGAAGACGAATTGGTCGGGCGATGGAAGGCTGTTTCAGGCTGGCGGGTAGTTGAGGATGGCTGTTGTCTGGTGGGGTTGCAATTCAACGCATACATGGAACGCAACGGGATCTCGTAGGTACCAGGGTACCGAAGACAATGGTCGAAAATCCATGTCAAAGCGGAGCCATCTGGGGCATCAAGTGGTTCTTCGGTGCGTGCCATTGTTCGGGACGATGAGACAAGGTGGACGAGAATCGAGTATGGAGAAGAAATTGGATGTTTCCTATTGCTGAGGAACTACGAGATGCTGGATATAAGAATAGTCGTCAAACCAAAAGGCTGGGACCAGTCGGGAAGAAGAGGATAGTCAAGGGGGGGGTGTTGTGTGCGACGTGATGGTTCGTGCAGGTGATCAAAAAGGGCAAGAGTTGCTCGCAATGACGGCTGGCATCAAATGCGTGTAACGTGTCTTTCCATAGCACGGATATGCGCTTGGAGATCGAGCGATCAGTGATGCAGAGTCTCCTTGGCCAGGGAGACAGGAGCAGATATCCCTTCGGTTTCTGATGTGTGAGGGGCAACCGTTCCTATGGGAATCCACCGGGCTGATCAGGTTGTTGCGCGGGGAGCTTATGAAACCCCTTTAGCTTTCTTTGTGAAGTTCTTGGCTATTGGGTAATTTGGAAGTCGAAGGCCAGACCGAGGATGAGCGAAGATCCAGAATCGGGTAACGGGGGAAGAGATTGATAGAGATGGCAGTTGGTTGCACAAGCGGGTATCGAGTTCCCGGATAAGGTTGCTTTCAAGCAAACAAAATAGACAAAATTGTGTGGTGGAAGCTCCGATGTAGCTAGGAGCGATATTCAACGTCTAAGGAGGTAGGTACTTTTGGAGTTTTAACTTTGGATGGATCACGAGTGATGTTAAGGAATTTGACAGATAGCTTGTTGAATTCAACAGAAAAGGAAATCAGTAGAGAGTGAGGTGTAAGTTAAGCAACGAACGGAGGCGAACAAGGAGAGGAATAGGAGGATAGGGAGGCGAAGGCGTGAAGTGTGATGTGTTAAGGATTGGACTGAAGAGATCGATAGAGAAAGGAAGGTATGATGTGTGTCTGTCTGTCTGTCTAGATGTCTGGAACAAAGGAGGACAGACGATCGAGAAGGGGTCGGGGACTTAAAGAACGAGGAGGTGGATGAGAGCAGAGGGAGTGAACTAGTGTAGGAAGTGGAGAAGACGTTGTCTGGGCAGAGCGAGCGAGACTGTAAGAAAGGAAAAGAGGAGGAGGTTGAAAGCCGTTCTACCGGTACGCGTAGCTCCAGCCTGGGCCGGTGCCAGTTGGTGGATCCAGTGGGCAAAAAAAGGGTCGGGCCAGTCACGGGCTATCATCCCATTCCCGGGCAAGTGCAATTCCCTCGGGCTCCTCCTCTCCTCTTCCTCCAGGATCGATCAATCAATTAATCCCGGTTCCATGGATGTCTCTCCTGCTCTAATCTATTCTTGTTTAGTATATCTGGTCTTATTATTATTTTTATTATGATATTATTATTTCACAGCAAAGTACATATGAGAACGGAGGATTACTTAGTGCATAGGACTTCCACTCTCCGGTCCTTGCTCCGAACCACCCGCGTGCCTGGACTACTTGTCTATCTCTTTGTCTGACTTGGACTGAACTGTGTGTCTCTCAGCTTGTTAACACCCTCTGTCTACCGAGTGCACATCCCAATCAAATCCTTACCCGAGGATCAATCAACCCGCGGTGCAAATGCGACAAAAAAAAACAAGCAAGAACAAAAATAGGCAAAAGATAAACCATTCTCCCTTCCCGTCCGCAGGTCCTTTTTCCTCGGATGCACACTGGCCACAAGCTGCATAAGGTATGTGCAGTAGTGTGCAGTGAGAGCAGCAACATAAGCAGCAGCATGAGCAGCAAGTAAGCCAGGCTTCCGCGTAAGTGCGTCCGGGCTCCTTTTCAGCGGAACTGGACGATCGGAGACGACGACGATAGAGAAACTAAACCAAACCAAAACAAACCCCTCTTTCTCCTCTTCTCCTCCCCCGACCGAGGCTCTCAGGTCTCAACTCACCTCGCTCCTCACTCGGAGAACCGATGATGATTGATGAGACTACGGTAGACTAAAACCCGCCCTAAAAAAGGACTAGAGGGGCCGATTTTGTTAGGCCCAAACCAGGCGGACGGTCTGGAAATTGAGCCCAGGCGTTCCTGCGTGCCCGGTCGGTGGCTGTGGGGAGAAGGACGAGAACGCACGCAGGGAAGGGGAAATTTTTCTTGTCTCGCCGCACTTGATTTATTTGCCGCACAAAAAATAGGCACACGACTGACCTGGACGCGGGACTTTTTGGTCACGCTTTGCATTGCAATTTTTCCTTCGAAGGGGCGACTTTTCTCCGTTGGAGGCAGGCAATCAAATCGTATCTGGAGACATCCCGATTACCTTCTCTGCCAGTCACTCAGCCTCCAGATCATCCCACGGACAGAGGACTCAGGATAAAGGAAACCGGTAGACTAGGCTGTCCTCTAGCGTGGGCGTGCCTGTCAATCCAGGTGTCAGGCTCCTTCAATTGAGGGTCCCGACGGTGACTTTCTGGGACTACCGGTGGGTCTCTCAGTCAGGACACGCAATCTATTCACGATGGGAGAGACAGTGACTCCCCACACAGCAAGACATACGGAGTACACACAGCATAGGGCGATGGCAATCTCAATCGTCGTCAGTATAGACACGGATCACAGAGTTTCAAAATAGCATCGCGAGTTGCGTCATACACTGATGAGGCTCATAGATATTGCGTAGGTCAAGTGGCACAGATCAGAAACCCTAAAAGTAAAAGGCGCTGTCGGCAAGACTGTGTGTGTTGTGTTTTCAGTTCTGATCTCTCCCTCTATCTCTGCGTGTGTGTCTCTCCCCCCTCCACTCATCCTCCACCGTGAGGATGGCGCGACCCGATTTGCCTGCTATTGTTTCTGACCTGAAACATACTCGGTCCCGACCGTAGGAGTCCGAAAGCGATGGGCGATGTGTAATGAGGTGGATGCTTACTCTACTCCATTCCGAAGAGTTGAACCATAGCTCCGTGCACGAGGCTACAGCTCGTCTCACTTACTCCGTAGGTCAATTGGGCGACAAAAGTACTGACCTGCTGTCCAGGACTCCAGTTGAGGGCTATGCCATCCAGACAGGTGGAGCGACAAACCCACAAACACCACGAGATGCATAGATCTAGACAAGACCACCCCCCTCCCCCTCTCAACCTCCTGCAGCCCATCTTCCGCTACTGAGCACATCCATGACTCAAAAATCATCAAAACCTCCCTTCTGCGATCGGGGAGTTCCCCCCCCCCTTCGTCGGCCCCCCTCCAATCCTTGCATTGACCCGATCGAGATGGTACCTATCTGCATCAACTAAGCAGTAGGTACATTAGTAAATTACTTTAGTCCCACGAGGGGCACGTCCGCAGCAATAAGATCCCCGATTGGAAGTCGAGACGAAGAAAAAAAAAAGCAAGCAACATCGCGAAAATCAGTCTGTCAATGACAGGTAGACAGACAGTCTTCACGCAGCGTGACTCACTTTCACATGGTAGGTACTGCATCGAACAATGACATATTGATAGTCCGTTCTGCCTTCCCAATTCCCCTAGATCCCGAGCCGAGCAGAATTATGGGTCCCCATGGTGAGGATGATCATCGTCATCACCAACGGGAAGTCTTCCTGAGTCTCTCGGCGTTCAACCCTGAGACAGCGATGAATACTGTCGCCCTGGGATAAAGTCTACTTGTCGCAAGTAAACTCACAACCACCCAATAACACCCCCAAAACTGTAGAAACTTTATGGGTATTTGCTTGCCCAACGACTGACGTACAAGCAAACAGTACGACTCAAACCCGATTCGCGAGTTTCGCTCATGATCGACACGGGGGGGAGTCAACCCGACGGATGGATGATCCTCAGTAGCAGGAGCCGAAAAAGCCATCGCACTTGACGCTCTCTTGCAGTATTCCTCAAAAACACCGCTTCAGCTTGTACTCATACTTAGAGGGCTGAAATCATAGATCGCACTAACAACGAATCGTGTAATCCACCTCTTTCACACCGCATGCCCGTCATCTGCACGAATACAGTACAGTACGTCCGGAGTGCATCCCCTTTGGAAGAACTCTAACCCCCCATACTCCGCGTAGATCGCTCGGTTAATTCTTCGCTGGCGTGCAACTACTAACTTTAGTCTGACGATACTTATCCAAAGGGTTAGAAAGGAAGAAGAAGAAATAATTCTTCAGCGAGTAAAAGAACAAAAGCAGCAATTGCCATTGTATTGCGTTGCTTTTTTCTTGACCTTGGAGCTGCAGGTCTTCAGGGTCCTTTCACACCGGGCCTGTCGGTGAGACTCACCCCCATCCCCCGTGGTTCAGCAGATGTAACTGAAACCAGGGACAAGCTTACATGAGCTCTCCCCCAGAAAACACTCTCGTGGGTGCATTTACCCTGATCGGTAGCTAAATGCAGGATTGAACTGCAGGTACAGATAGGCACATGCACTTGCACTTGACTACCTTAGCTACTGCGATTGGAGTAGTAATATGGGTCGGTGAAGTAGGTATAGTAGTTGGTCATTTCTTTCTATTGCCATGTATATCACTGGCTGCTAATGTTCAAGGCCCAGCGATCCTATGGGATCCCTTGCAGCGCGGTAGCAGATTGTACAAGGGGGGCCGAAAAACAGGATGTCGTGTCGTTAACCGCGCTTGAAGCGGGCCCCCTGGTCCCTGCTCTGCTGTACCTGAACCTGCACCTGCACCTGCACCTGCAAGCTGTGAAGAACGTGATAGAAGTTTATCGTACTGCACCTAACTAGGCAAAAGTTGAACTCCGTACTGCAGCCGGTTCGCATCTGAGGTTTCGGTTTGGACACTGGCACACTGCCCCATACCCACTTGGCATATCCACAACTAACCAAACAACAACAAACTAGGTACAGTACTTTGTACTGTATAGCATACTTGATCCTAAACACCTCCCTCCCCCACGCGCTCCCTTTCACCACCCAAACCACCCCCCAAAAGACACCCATCAACGAAGAAAGGCAAGTGTGATCAAGGAAACCCCGGCGGGAAGAAGCTCTCATGGAGCCTGAACTTGGCCGCGATGCGCTCCCTCTCCCTCCGCTGCTGGTCGCCCATACCGTTGATTCTCGGAGCCGTGCGTTGGTACGCCAGGGTGCGCACGAACTCATTGGCCGAGAACGCGTCCCCGTAGTAGTTCACCTCGATCGTCGACGACCGCACCACCGCCACGTCCCCGTGCACCGTTCGACCCAGGCACCGCGTCGCGATGGGGTTGACGGGGCGGGTGTCGTCCGTACAGTTCTCCCACCCGGGGGTCGCCACCCCCGGCGCATACACGTGATAGTGTTAGTCGTTCGTGTCGTGGTGCGAGAAGAACGTGCCCGGCTCGTAGACTGCGGCCCAGTTCAGTCGCGTCTGGATCTCCTGTCGCTCCTTGCCCCAGTTGCCGTAGGCGTGGAGGGGGAAGGGTTCGAGGTAGTGTGCGTCTTTGGGGGGTTGGTTTGGGTCAGTGGCGGTGGTAGTGATGGGAAGGGCGCGGATCAGGAAGCAGTTGTGCTTCTGGGCGCCGGCGCAGGTGCGGCGGTGGCCGCGCTTCCAGTCGGCCGCTTGGCAGGTCGACGAGCAGTAGCGGGCCTGCTGGCTGGGGTGGCAGCCGGAGCAGCGGAGGGTGTCGGGCTTTTGGCAGCTGGGGACGGTGCAGGTGGGTGTGGCGTCGGACATGTTGATTTTTATTCATCGCAGTTTTTGGTTGGGTGTCGATGACACCAGCTGGTTGCGTTTGTATAGATGCAAAGTAAAGGTAGGCTGTGCCTGCGCGCCAAGTATAAAGTTTGATCTTGTATCTTCTGCGCGATCCTCTTTCTACTCGGTGAATCTTTGTTTTGATGGACGCCAAGAAAGGCGGAGAGTATCCGTACAGCGGGAAAAGGAAATGTTAAACTGTGATGTGGTTTAGTCAATTGCAATTTGTGGTTACTGCAAAGAACAGATCCGACCACTGATCCAGGCGTTGTATACTGATCATTGAAAATCAGAGAAGAGTTTTCTTACCAATGGCTTCAAATCAATATTCACTCAGTATGAGGTCTATGGCGCAAGAGCTTGAGGGCCTAGAATCAACACGGAGGCTTGATGGCCGGGTTTGTTGACAGCTGCATAGATTTGGTGCCGTGGTGGTTTTAGTGTCCGGTGCTAAGAACTTATTTGCACATCCCGGCCCAATCAGGGTGCACCTGGCGCAACGACTCAAAAGTAGAAGTGTTTGATCGCGTACCGGTATACCTACTAGTAGTATGCTTGTCTTTGTTGTGCATCTTTACCTGGCCGGAGTCGTGCTTAATCAACTCATCTCTTCTACTAATTGTTCATAGCGTAAAACTTATATTTTATGCAATTCACGCCTGATGACGTAGCCGCCTCTGCAACATATATATCAAGACCTATTTGCAACCGAACAGGACCCCTCTCCTCAGCATGGCAACATTTCAGATTAGTCAAGCGTATATAGAAGTCAGAGAAGCTGTTGTATGTCCTATGCGGAAGCTTCTCCAGCAATCTCTCTGTAAACAAACTAGAAGAAAGATTATATAGGCCAGATAACCCAGAACACAGAATCGCTACACATTTGGAGACCGAGCACGGAGAATATGATCGCAATCGCCAAGCAAATCGGGGTCATGAACGAAAACATGAAAGTTGGCTCATAGCCGGTAAAAGCAAAGCAAATAGGTAATCGTTTCAGAATGCTACTGTATTCCCTATGGCTGACGGCGCCAAAGCTCAAGTGGAGTCCAACCCTCACGCCCTGTCAGTGACATGCGGGGGAGTCATTTCAGCGTCAGATCCCTGCCCACTGTCCGCTTATCCGCTGACGATGCCCGCACTTGTTCTCCTCGATCATTTCAATTCCCAAAATCTACTAGGGTACATGCTGACTGGTTGAAAACTCGCACCCCCTAGAGCCTCTACATCCCCAAATTCAAATCTTAGACCGTTTAGGTAAAGCACCGATTTCCCTCTCCCATTGCCGGTCAACGCTGACCTGATCCAAATGGGGCACTCGCTCCCAGGCCTCGCGAAACCGTGAAACCTTCAACTCCCAAGCCGATAACCGAGCGGCAATGAAGGAAGCACTGGCCTCGGCACTTTCCCGAACACGCTCCATGGGAACCATGTGACCGCAAGGAAGAATGACCTCTTGAACCAGTCCGCGAGCCGCGCCGCCACTGCCTCCGACACCCGTGCCAGTACTCCCCACCTTCTCTCGACGAGCGGTCGGCGAAGACAGATCCGACTTGTCTCCAAATAGGTAGAGAACAGCGGGTTTCAACTCCGGTAATCGCCGAAACATCCACGCGGGCTCGGGGCGATAGAATGGATAAGTTTTGTCGACGTCGTCGGAGTGCATTTCTTCCCCGGGATAGCCGCGAGGGTGACCGGATCGCTCGTCGATGTAAGACGGTCGCATGTAGTAGAAAAGCTCTTGTGCCTTCGTCGTAGTCAAGGTCACAGCGGACGGCCCGGTCTCCTCGGTAATGGGATACAGTGGCGTGGGGAGATCTCGGAGTCCGTACTGGATCCATTTTGCAAACACGCGGGGATCCCATGCCTGGTAGAATGGACTGGTCTGGAACTTTTCGATTGCTTGTTGACGTGAGGGCCATATGTCTCGTCGGTACGTGGACGCCTCGGCGTATTTGCGCCCGGGGTTCTCGCGCTGGATCACAGGATCGATCAGGACAAGACCTTCGAATAACGAGGGGTGCATCAGTGAGAGATGAGCTCTGACACAGTTAGGGAATATGACTTTTGGATTGAAAGCGAAGAATGAAACCGTGATTTGAACTCACAGCTGCATCCCGCCCATGCTGTGACCGATCCCAATAAGCGGCTGCGGGATCTGGTCTTGGAACTGGTTTATCATGGAAAGAAGATCACGTCCGTGATCGAACCAGTCAGCTAGAAAGGGTTTCTGGTAGTTGGTCAACTGGATCGGTTAGTGGTATCCATGGAGCGAAAACTCACGATCATGACCTATAATTGCTTCATTTAAGATACCGCTCTGTCCCTGATGAGCAACATCCGCGATCCAAATGGATCGAATGCGTCTGTCGTGACTTCGGAGTACCTCGTGAATATCGTCCCAAAGAGGCTCATACAGTTCCTGAACCACGAATGAGTTGCGTAGAAAAGACAGCCCGATGAAGAAGATGTAGCGATACCTTTGGAAAACCATTTGCATGAGCCCCAATTATCGTGATATCCCCTTCTTGCGGAGAAGCGTTATCAAGAGGGATATACTGCTTGACAGCAAGTTTCAGCTCATTCCCATGTCCGGCTTTCACGGCACCCAGACGCTCCCGGACATTTTGACACCGGGCTGTGTGCTCAACAACGCGAAAACGTGACATATACCTCCTGGTAGATGAGACTACTTGGCTGATCGATCGTTTCCTCTGTGGCTTGCTCAGCATCATGGATGTATGAGCAAGCAGAATCCATCCTGAGAGCTGCCCTGCAGAATATACGGATGTATTTATCGCGTCCCCGCTAGAACTAGCCGAGGTAGACATTATGATCAGCCTGCTAGACTACCGACGTGCAGTCTTGGCAATTCCTCCTGCATCTTAGTTGATCTCTTTCTCCAATTTGGAGAAGTGGAAGAGCCGGATACCCAACGCTACATTGTGAATTGTGGGATGCTCTCCCGCGCAGCATTGCTTGATATCAATCCTGCATCCTTTTTTCGGGTCAGTTCATGGTTACTGAGACTGTGGACTAGATTCTCCTGGGTTATCAAGAGATGTACATCACAGTACATCTCAGTTAATCTCGTTCGCTCCCGAAGCTGCCACACGGACACGCAGTGTTGACAGTACAAATCCACCAGCCTCGGCTGATGTGAGATGTGGTACTGTCTATTGTTGCTGAGAACTATGTTTCAGAAGAAAATGTCCCAAGCATATGAGCGCAGCAAAGGACGGAAAATAGACACAGGGAGAAGACTAAGCACGAGATTGCGCTTATGAGTCGGTTCTCCGAATTCCACAGTCGGCAATCGAGGCACAAAACATCATGGTAAATTAGTGACGCCACCAGGGGAGGCACGAGCACTGTAATGTAGACTATCATCATCGGCGAAAAACCCCTCATTCAATTTGGATATCTACTGCATGCTCCAAAAGATACGCAGATACGTATGTCCTCCCACCAGCCAGAAAGGATCGAACAGAGACATTGATCAGCACCTGCATGGCTTTTAGACGATGCTAGAATCTGCTGGTCCGGACACAAAGCTTTGGTGTCATTACAAGACATGCAAGACATGTGCCCTTTAACATGGCCCTGTCGTGAAATGAGTCAGGCAAGGCTTTTGATCAAGGAATCTGCTCTGCACGCCCTTTCTCGAAAGCAGTTGACACCTTTTTTAACCGTGCATGCGGGGGAAGACTCGCTCCGGGGAAAAGGAGGCTCTGTTCTATACCTTATACTATCCCGAAAATAGAGTTTGGCAATTTACCTCATGCATTGCATCATGGATCATCAAGCTATTTCGATTAGTGATGATCACCAACTCTGTGAGCAAGGAATTTTAACTCGTGGTTCGTGTCAGCTCGACGATCATCGGGGTTTCAGTTCAAGACGACGCTGTTACGACGTCATCTCAACTCTACTATAGGGCTGATCACTGTCACAGGTGTCAGAAGACGAAGGTTTAATCGAGTAGGAGGTGCATGATCGCCCCGTTGGAGGTGTAGTGGGATAGTCACATTTGTGTCACTATGAGAGTCACTGGAAAGTTCCAGTGGCTGACGGGTGGCTGACTACTTGACGGGAATGGCACCGTAAGGCATCCACCGCAAGGAGATGGGCATCACCTAGAGATCTGGTGAGTTTCTGGTACAGGGACAGGAACAGTTGCTGCGTTCCAAACTGCTGACTCTGGTGCAATTAGTTACAAGCTTCATGTAGAGCGCGAAAGCATGACAACCTTCAATTACTTCATCAATGGCTTTGACTATCTTATCGGGTCGGTCATTCATTCCATTGCTTCTACCGTCGGTCGTCGACACGCGGCCTGTGTGGGCTGTAGAATGAACCCTGACAATTCTCAAGGGGGCGGATAGTCATCTGGAATTCATGGCCTTACGCGGTGCATATGATAGTCGTCGTCATGGACTCGAGCCCTACTATACCATAATTGGACGGAAAAAGGACCGTTCGGCGTTAATAATTGCAAGACATCACCCGAACATCGAAGACTGACAGTCTATGAGCAGCAGAGAATTAAAGTGGAGCGCGATGGGGTAGTGATCAGGCACTCGATTACTCGATCTCGATCACCCAGCACCCGATCTACTGGTGGTGAGATCCTTGAGCGGCGGGATGCAATGCCGGTAGCAGGTTTCGTGGGGTTTATGAAACGTGACAAAGAGGACGAGCCAATGCGTTCTCCAAACTCCACTAACAGTCTCCATCTTGCGGAGAAAAGAAGGAAAAGAAGGTGATTACTGTGGGGCTGCTTGTTTGGGAGGGGAGGGGCTTACGAATCAAAGCATTTACAAGGGCGCGGTAATGATATCAAGAATGCCGGGCAGGGCAAGGCTGTTGGTCGCCACGCTCACTAAGCACTTCAGCAGTCAAGCACCGCACCGAGAAACGCCGCCCCAAACAACTTGCTCACATTCCACATGCGCGTCGATTGGGTTCAGCTCTGACGTTACAGCGGGGGGAGCTCTGCGATTCACAAGCTTGTCTGCATGCTTCAACCACGGACCACCACTGTGCAGTCCAAGGTTCGAGAAATGATGTTGACGATATCGATAGAATCGATCACAACACTGCTCGAATTTGGAATATCCAACCTTGGGAATATAAAGCCATCATGGCCCGCTTGATCTGGGACTCTCATCTCCTCATGCACTGGACTGAACCCTAATCCTGAGTAATATCTTGAACACACTCTTGTTCTCTCAATGTCCTCCTCGGCTGAATTCTTCCGCATCCCCGCGGCGGTTATCCGTCGCACCGCACCTCGTCTCAGTTCCACTCTTGGCCCCCTGGCCAACCGACCGGCCATCCCAGGGAAACTGGCCGCAATCTCTCGGGGAAAACTCCAGCGTGAAACTGAATCTCAAACCCCAGACCTCCGTCGGTGTCTGGGTCACCACCACATCTTCCGTCGCTGCGTCGCAGCCGAAGAAGAAGACAACGCACGATATCGTCGCGAAACCTACGAAGAGGATGACGACGGAGAATACTATCACCGCCACTCTACAAGCCGGCGCGACTCGGACTCCACTCCCATCCGTACCCAGATCACCAAGGCTGTCAAAGCCATGGTGCGACGTCGCGATGCCGACAACAACTCCATGCCCGACAATGGCCTCGTGCGCATGTCCTCCAACCGTGCCTCAGAGAAATCACGACCCTCCATCAGACACAGCCGCCATCATATATCCATGTTCGGCTTGCGACGGCTGATTGCCTCGCAGCAGACGACCTTCCAGCCGCAAGCACAGGCTGTGGCTTAATAACATCGAGTCGTATGAGTCATGGCCGAACAACCTCAACAACCCGCTGTCACGACTCGACTCGTGACACACTACATTCTTTTTCATTTTCCCATTTGAAGCGAAGCTTTGGTAATCTGACGATCCATGAATTATGAGTATGAAGTTATGTTTTGTGATTTACAATCAAATCCTTTGTATATATCCCAGTGCTCACGCCTGGGGATTGAAAGATAATATCGAGAGAACCATATTTAAAGTAAGGTACTATTTACATCCAATGTTATTCTGACCAAGGATCAAATTCCGTACTACGCCACACCTAACCTACTATCTCCTCCCCGATGCAAATACTCCTTGCCACATGGATTTAAACCATATTTAAAAGCTAAAAGCTTAATTAGCCGGGATTCTCCATCCAAGGACGGACTCGAGATTAAATAAGCTAGCCAAGGCAATTTAGCGAAGTCCAGTATCTTACATCTGAATATTCAACCAAGCGAAAGGTGAATCTAACCACAATATTGACCATAGCTTGCGACTACCTAGTACACCTTGTCAGTATATAGCCTCAAATCCCCGCCCCTTCCTCCCTTAAAAACCCCTCCCCTGGTCCGCCCAGTAGAATAGCAACCCGCATTCGCGTGTGTCAGGAATCAATGACGTCGATCAAACATCTATCCCATAGAAGCCCATTGCGGAGCTTTCTTTTGTTGGGGGCGGGCGAAAGTTGTAGAACATACCACACACTTCGCCGCATACTGTTGTACAACCACGCATTGTGAGCACGCGATGGAATATGATAAGCAGCTGCCATGGTACATGAGCGGTGTGACTGCATCCGGAGTCGGAGTTCTTCTCATGAGCTTGGCATCTTCTCGAATTCGGCTAGTGGGTCTGTTCGAGCAATCGAACAGCATGTGGACAACAAAGGGTTGCTTTGGTCTCATTCAAGCGGCTTATGTTTTCCGGGTCGCTCATGCATTGTGCCTGTGGGTCGAGGGTTGATACGGGTCCAACAATCCCGGATTGAGCGGGCCTATCTGACTCTTCATCCGGTCCTTCACTGCAATATGGCACTTACAAACCATGACAAGGTAGCTGGCAGTACATGTGCGTGGCGAATCCTAGCAGAAAGAGAAGAGCCGTCTTTGCCGGTATTGTACTACGTCCGTCTGCCGATCAAATGGTTATTCTACCTATTCTCTTCCCGTCGCGGCAAATAGCCTCGCGCTGGCGGACTCCAGCTGGTTGCATTTCCGGGGAGGGTGATGTCCCTTGGCTCCGAAGCATCAACTCGCAGAAACGAAGGATGTGGACAATGAGGGAGCCAGCGATGAGGGTCAGAGCTACTGCTTAGTGAATGGTTCAAATCATCGCCAGGTATTCACTACCGTATCCCCATGTGGGTTAGCTTAGTAGTAACACTCTTATCCTGTCATCGGCATTCCATTATCTGATTTGCTTTGATAGACACGTAGGGCTGAACCTAATCATTTAGAAACAATCGATCTGTCCTCTCGCACATTGTTAGATTTGAAGAGCCATATGCTGAGCGACTGTGAGAGTCGATCTCAATGCTATACCAAGTCTTGTCTGATTGCAGGGGCACAGAGCCCTCTTGCTTTTGTGGTCAAGGTAGCCTTCCTGACGCTCAACCCCAGTTCTCAGGTTTCTCTGACTGTGAGCCGGCGAACGTGATTGTGAATCGCTGGTAGCCTAGTTTTGAGGTAAGGGGGCCGGGCTCAAGGGCTAGACTGCACGATCTCATAACAGACCAGAAGATTTGCTTCGTGAATCTCCACTAGGGGGTGCGGGGCCCCTTTCTTCACAACCTTATTTTCGGGGCAGTTCTGGTGCCTGGATCGCTGCACGAGAGTGTCGCGTCGCGAAAATCATATAAAGGGAGCCCTGGACACTTCGACTTCCCCTGTATCCTTCTCTCTCTCGAACGCACACTCTAACCACTCCTCACTTCCAGTGTGAGAGTACAAACGAAGAGAAAAAGATGAGAGCTACTGTAGCTTTTCTTCTTGCCCTCCTCGCCACAATCACAGCAGCCATCCCCACCGCCACCGAGCGACTGGATATATGCGCCAGTATAGAGCTGACCTGCAATGCAGAGGTTCGTCACGGAAGAACAAGACAATTGGAGGGCCTTGAGGCTAATTGGGATGTAGCAAGTGAAATGTGAAGACCACTTTGCGTATGAGGGAATCGACGCCTGCCCCGAGGATCCGTGGCGCAGTTGTCTGTGTGATCATGTCGGTAAGCCCCTCCACATCTTTGCGGATTATCATGCTGATGGGCGCCCCTTCTGGTCTACAGGTTGCTGAGCACTGCATGGTACGTACTGCGTGACTAACGATTGTATGATTCAAGATCGCTTCGTGTCTGTACTTACGTGATCACTTTCTCCCGCTGGGTTTTATAGAGCAGAGCGGGGTGTCTATAGATTCGGGGTGATCAGGTTGAGGACAACCACACTACGTTGGGAGCATTATCTTGAATATGAAAGACAGGCAAAGAGTTGAGCAAGTCTCGCTTCACTCTAATCGCTCTCATAACCACCCAAATCAAACTCAGAAGCGTAATTATATCCCGCAGATGTAACCGAAAGTTCGGTACACCTTTTTTCTCGCGTTCTTCGGAACAGATGCGTCGGGACTGGGTGTGTTTGGCGCTTCTTCGATTTCTTGCGGTGGTTTGGGAAGAACAGTGGGCGAGTTGCACCAAAGGTGGTGATTAGGGAGCATATCTTACCTGGTCAGAAGGAGACACAGAGTTCAGACTCTATGGAGCCTCGAAATTGAATGGCTTCGTGAAACTTTGGAGGGAGTAAGTTATAGTCTAGGTCATAATGTTTGAATACAATGTGGGTAGACCAGACATAGCCGGCAGCCTAGGCATCATTGCATTGTAAGGAACTGCGAGAGGCTATTCCGCTGTACATTACGTTACACTAGATTCTCACCTCAGCAAAAGTCCAGGTAGAAAATGAACCTCTAGGTATGTTTAGCAAATTAAAAAATGTATCCGAGATTGTTCGTGATGCTATATTACTTGCTTCTAGTACCCAATCTAGACCAGGATTGAGATCCTACTACATGCTACTTACTACTCATCAATAGCCGGAGTCCGCGCTATCGCCGAAGGCGTGATTGAGCTCCCTCACCACCTCCGAATCAAATAGCAATGGCTCTTCCCCCCTTCCGCTCTCTCCTAGGATTTGAATCCAGACATGGCACGGCATAATGTTCCCTCCCGATCGACTCGGGTCCTTCTACCACTGCTTCTAACAGCATTCCTCTTCTTCCTGGGCGAAAATATCCAATCAGGTCCACGCACCCAAATCTACGAGTCCATTCTGTGCGATCAGATTCTCCCAAATAATGCCACTACACCACTATCAAGCGCCAGATGCAAAGACAAAGCTGTCCAGGAAGAATTGGCCTTCCTCAAGGGGACAGAGAGAGTTTTAGGAGCAATACCAAGTACATACTAGGCCTCCTTCTCACCCTCGCTTGGTATCCTGTGCTGACCTGCGACAGCCATCCTAGTGATTCCATGGAGTATCTTCGCCGAGCGATACGGCCGCTGTCTCTCCCTCCGACTAGCATTGTTCGGTGTCCTCTGTGAAGAAGCTTGGAGTTTTCTGATATGCTGGTTCTCGAACACATTTCCAATCCGCCTCATCCTCCTGGCCCCTGTGTTCGAGATGATTGGAGGTGGTCCCGGCATTATCATCACCATGATCCACATCCTGGCTGCTGAGACCGCCACGGAGGAGAAACGAACCACAACCTTTTTCTTCATTCGCGCCATGGCGATTGCAGCAGCCGTGCTGGCCCTACTCGGCAGCTCACTCCTCATGAGCCATCATGTCTGGGTGCCGTGGCTTTTGGGGTTATTCTGTCTTCTCCTTGCCATATTGACTACCCCGTCGGAGCTACATCCAACCACTTCCCAGAATCCTCCGGATGAGCACACAGCATTGAATCCCGGACAGTATCTTGACGACCATACGAGCACTGTGTCTCAGGAGAGTGGCTCCTCTACCAAGGAGCCCGCTAGTATAAGATCTCGTCTTGTCCAAACAACCCAACAGCTTCACCAAGGGGCGAGGGTTGTGTATGGCAACACCTCGCTCGTCATCTTACTGGGGATGTCCTTCTTGGGCCAACTCGGGGAAGACTCGCTTCCCATGGCTCTACTTCTTTACATCTCGAAGAGATACAACTGGGAATTCGCTCGAGTATGTCTTTCAAGGGTTCTTATTCTGGTCGTCGTATGAATAAGCTAACAGACCCAACAGGCCAATTTCTTGTGGTCGTTAGGAGAGGCAGTTAGATTTGTGTGTCTTATCGTATTGCTCCCACGAATCAGCCGGATGCTTCTCTCGCGTGCTGGTTCAACTACCTACAAGACGGATTTTGCTATCGCCCTTGCCAGTGCAACGATGCTCAGCCTGGGGACCTTGTTGCTCGGACTGGGAGTATCCATACCGATTTCCACTATAGGTATGCTTGCTCTCTCTACCTCTAGTTACATCAGATCATCTGGTAATCTGGTATATGCAGGGGTCATTCTGATATCCGCCACGGGAGGACTTAACTCGGCCCTGCGGTCGCTAGTGACCATGACGATTTCCTCCGAGGATATCAGCGTGGTGTATTCAATCTTCACAATACTTCACGTTCTGAGCACCTCTTTGGCAGGACCAATCTATTCTGGTGCTTTCGCTCTGGGACTGCAGTTTGGGGTTGAGTACACTGGGCTCCCGTTCATTGTGGCTGCTGCTTTGGTTGGATTGTCGCTGCCAATGTTCTTCTTGGTTCGACCGCGCGGTGATTACGAGTTGGTCACGGGATGAATACATGGAGTATATATCGAAAAGAATTGGCAGTTCTAGCAATCTAAGCGAAGAGGCGACCGGCAAACAGGCAGGGAGCTGGTCGATACGATTTACTCTAGGAATTTACGACCAGTTCACATCGAAAGTCTTTGTCACACTGCCATGCAAAACAAAATCAAGCTTCCAAGCCCTTGAGCAGGTTTCTAATTGACGGTGCCGAATACAACTCCCAGCCACCACGCGGCATCCAGCACGGATGGGATGATAAGCAGACAGCCACATCAGCGATCAACCCCGCATCCCATGCGCCAACTCACAACCTCCACCACCCGATCGTCTCATCCAAGCCAGACACCCACCCTGGCTGAAACCAGCCTAACTCACAGACTACTAGCACAATCAACGTCAGGCAATATGCTTCCGTCCAATGACATGCAGAGATGGCGCGAGGCGAAACACCGTTCAGGTACCTTAGTCATTGATGTGGAGCGCAGCCATTGGCTCCACGATGTATGAACAGCTCATAAGGCAGGAACTGGGTTTCGTTTAGCACGACAACTTGGGGGGGAGGGGGGGTATAAGCTGTCAAGGCCCCTCGTTCTGGAGTATGAGGAGAATATTCTCCGAATTCTACGGCAATTCTCGAGTACGAGGCTTTATTGGGGTCGGTATCTACTCAGCAAGCGAGCGACACTTGAGGTGAATTTGACGCTGCGAGCAACGCGACGAACCGCACCTGAACAAAGCGAGTGACGAGAGAAGTACGACGACTACGGATAGCGCTACAAGTCGATCATCACGGAAACACAATGGCTGTCCAAAGCAACGGCACGCATGGCCCATCCGTCCGATTTGCACCACCCAAATCAACCTCATCCCCATCAAGAATCAACGGTGATGACTCCGTGGAAGTAGAAGTGGAAGAATACGACCAGCCCGAATCCTCGTACGTCCGTCCCCGTTCCTCCCCAAAAACAAACCCTAACATTCAAGCCTCTAAAACACAGCCCCTACGAATCCCGCCGCGTGATCCTCCTCCTGGGCCCCCACGAACGCAAACACTCCGTGCCCGAGTACTACCTCCGCCAATCCCCGATCTTCATCGACATCCTCAGCACGTACCCGCACTTCATCACCAAGACAGTCCCCTGCATCCCCCTGCCGGACGTCGACGACGACCTCATCCACACGGTCGTCCACTACCTGCACACAGGCAGCTACCAGACGCTGCGGCCCGCGGGGGGCAGCGACTGGACCAAGACCGAGTACCGGCGCAGCGTGCTCGTCTACGGCGCGGCGGCCCGCTACGAGCTGCTGGGCCTGCAGACCCTGGCGCGCAAGTACCTGCAGAAGCTGGACACCCACCTCAGCATCTTCGACGTGCTGGGAATCGCCCGGAAGGTGTACGGGGGCGGCAAGGGGTCGACGATCCCGGACTACGACCCCTGGTTTTTCGAGGTCTATGTCCGCGGCAAGATGGCCGATGCCTTCGTCGAGGATCGCGATCTCTTCGAGCGCCCCCGGTTCCAGTATCTGCTGGGCGCGGAGACGGGGTTCGATCGGTTCTTGGTGCAGGCGCTGGTCTCGATCTACGAGGCGAGGATTGCGGAGTTGGAGAAGAGGGCCGTGCGAAATGGGGGTGGGGGTGGGTTGCAGCAGCGGGATGATAAGTATGAGGATCTGAGGAATGCCGGAGTGAGAGATGAGAGGAGTGCGGTCGTGGCCGGATTGGAGGATATCGCGGAGGAGTATCCGGATGAGCGGACGGTGGAGTTGGACGAGATGGACGAGGTGGAGGGAGGAGGAGGGGTGTATGAGCGACTACATCTGGAAGCACATGCGGAGGAGTTGATCGACGAGCGACCGCCGTCCAGTGCCCATGTCTCCGAGGGGTATCCTGTCTCCGTGGCCGAGGAGCCGATCGAGGACTTTCAAGACACCCATACTACTGCTGCCGCTGCCGCTGGCTCTGGCACCGAGAAATACGAAGAAGAGCTCCCAGCCGAGAGATACACGCCCATCGAGCAGCCGATCAAAGAGGAGGAGCCCATTCCTGACGCCGACGACGGCGGCAATGATGACAGATACCACCGTGCTGAACCGCTCGAGCCCGCCGCAGATGACACCTGGAACGGGTGGGGGAGCTGGGCAGCCCGCACGAGGGAATGGGGCTATACGACGGTCATCCACGAGGAGGAGCCTGCAGCCACAGACCCCGATCCCATCGCCGAGAAAGACCCCCTCCCCGAGCCGGTGGCAGACGAGCCGCTCCCGGATTACGCCGAGGTTCAGCAGCCGGTGGTGGTGTCAGACCACCCCCACGCCCACCAGGAGAATCAGAGCCCCCTGGAGAACGGCAAGAAGAAGGACCGCAAGAAGGACCGCAAGAAGCGGAGCACCATGAGCCGCACGCGGGCGCTGTTTTCCTCGGCGGAGGAACAGCCGCGCGAGCAGGCGGTCTTTTGACGTGCCATAGAACAGTATGTACATAAATGGCGTTATTCCTAGACTGTGGTCGTTGCTGGGGTTTGGGTGCTTTTAATTATGTTTTTGTGCAGTATTAGGAAGGGCTCGAAGTTTTGTTATATTGCAAGTGAGAGTATTGATGTCCTGGAGAAATTATCGTTGATACTCATGGCGAGCCGTTTCATGCGTGAGGCACTGCGGATGAAGGGCATTCTGATATACTCCAGTGAACATGTCAGTAAGTATGCCCTCGTGTACTTGTTCGAGATCAATCAAGTCTCCAATGCATTGCATGCAGACTATGTCAGAGCCTCGAATGATCATATCCATGTGAAAGTGTATTTGAGCAAGGGTTCTCCAATTTGGGGTAAAGATGCTCGGGTGGAGGAAGATGGGGACGGACTGCGGGTGCGGGTGCGGGTGCAGATTTGGGGGGCGAAGCATCGACAGACGCCCTAGGGCGCATCGAACCCCCCCCCCTTCGTCTGGCCAGATTGGTGTGACCTACTTACATACCACTCCTCGGCTTTCTGTCGTAACCACCCGATTGGGAGCTAGCGCCTGCGTTGATCGGCAATAGAAATAGAAGAAGGGATTGGATTCTTGACGCATAGGCTCTGTGCAAGAAGCACACAGCACCTTCTCTGATACCCTTCGGGTGCCAACCCGCAACTGTCTATGTATATGGCCTGTAACTTATGGAGGCAGGCCGGTTGACTGGAACTCTAGTAAACACCTACCAGATCAGACCCTGATGATGATGAATATCGCGAGGCCTCCAAAACGCCTCAAGACCCAATGAACTAGAGAAGCCTCCCCCCCCCCCCCGGCGGAAGCCCTAACTACACAAAACGCGGATCTACCACCGACCCGGGACAAGACGGGGTGTATCAACGAGCCCAAAAAGCCACAATCGTGTCAAAGTCCTCGGTCGTCAGGCTCTTGACATCGCGATCCTCCTTCGTGATCTCCTTCCTCAGACGGCCGGCCACCCGTAGAGCGATCGAAGCTTTCTGGGGCTTGCCCGTGGACTCGAAGACCTTTCCCTTGAGGAATGTGGTGCGCGCGATCTCGTTCTTATGGGCGTTGGGGTCAACGGACCAGATCTCTAGTGCTGTGTTGATCATTGCACTACCAGGAAGAAAAGGGTTAGATAGGGTATAGGTTCGAGTGTCTTCGTTGAAGGAGGAAGGGGGGGGGAGGCACTCACATCGCCTGCTCGCATTGGCCGAGCCTCAGCAGATGCTCCGCCAGCTTGTGGGCGACGTTCGCAGTGTAAAAGTCGCGGTCGCCGACCGTGGCGCGCATGTGGCGCCACGCGCGCTGGTGATACGCGAAGCTTTCCTGCCACTCGTGCTGCGCCGCCCGCAGATTGCCCAGCGCATAGAGGATCAGGCCCGTGCGGACGGACTCGCGATCGTCCTTGCCCAGCGCCCGCTCGCGGCCGGCCAGACTCTCCAAAAGCAGCGCGTTGCACTCGTCGAGCTTGCCCTGCGCCAGCAGCGCCCAGCTGAGGTTGGCCTCGCCGGAGCGCGGGATGTAGTTGCCCCACGCCTTGCGGATGCGCAGCGCCTCCTTGAGGTCCGCTTCGCCCTCGGCGTAGCGTCCGTCCTGGATGCGCGAGATCCCCCGCTCCGCGGTGGCGAGATACAGCCGCTCGTCGGCGGTGCCCAGCTCGCTGCAGATCGCGGCGACCAGGTGCAGGGACTGCTCCTTGTGGATGCGGCTGGCGGCGAAGTCGCTCGCGTCCATGGCGATCGCGCCGAGGCAGAAGTGGATGTCTGCGAGCAGGGAGTCGCGGTCGGGGTGGTGCGCCGAGGCGTCGCAGATCGTGCGCGCGGTGTCGAAGAAGCCGTCGAAATGCTTGGTTCGACCGCGTTCCTTCTGGTACCTGCTTCGCGTTAGAGATTATGACGGTTGAAGGAACCAGATACACGGACCATGCAGCTTCGGTCAAAAGCTTTGCGAATAGCAGACTGGTGGTCTCGGAAGGACATGAGATGGTTGGCCAGAGCTGGTGGAGCCTAAGCACATGGGGATAGATGGCCGCACATGCAGGCCATCGGCCAACATAAAGCCTGCCGCCGCTCGATTTGGGCTGGGGTAGCTCGGGCTCCTTGGATGGCTTGGGCATAGCCGACGGCCAGTTCACCCAAAGAATCTCTACGAGTTTGTCGAAGATGAGGTGTTTCCTCGCAGACTCCATTCTGGTCAGAACCACATCTTGCACGATGCGATGCACCGATATCTGTGACTTGTTCTTGTCTCTTTGAATCAGAGATAGTTGCAGCAGATCGGATCGAGCATCGATGAAGGTACTTTTCTTGTAAGGTGCGCTCTCGCAACTCATCTCCACTGCTGCCTGCATCAGTAGATCTTCGCGGATGAGATCCGGATCGAGAAATGCGATCACCTCGAGCAGCTGCCGAGCTTGGGGCTTCAATTTCTCGAATGTCCACACCGTAGCAAGGGAATGTCGATAGGTGATCATGTTGGTATCAAACTTGGTCTCGTAGAGACTAGCGTGCTCCTCATGGTCCATGTAAAGCTCCAGAAACTCGGACAAGGTGAGGTCCTGGCGACGAATGATGCCGGCCATCTGTGAGATAGCCAGAGGGATGCCGCCAAGCGCATCAGAGATCTTTCGCGCTGTCGTATCTTCCGGCTCATCGAAGATCGTAGTCAGTTGGTTGAAGAGGGCTAGGCTGTCTTTCTGTGACAGTGGCCCGAGACCCAGACCCGAGGGTCTTCTGGTAAACATGCTCATAGCCAATGGATCGCGGCTAGTGATAAGGACTGAACCACTGCCCTGAGGCCAGTAGTCCGCCAGGACCATCGGGTCATCTGCGTTGTCAAAGATCAGCAGCCAAGTCGCTTCTGCACCGGCGCGACCCGGCTGGAGGAGTTCATCCGACCCGGTTAGATGTTTTCGGGGACTGGAAAGCCACCCTTTAACAATCTCCCTGCTGACGACTTGGCTCTTACACTCCGATGCATCTTCGAGTCCCAGTGCCAGAGAGATCTGTTGGTAGTGGTGATCAAGCTTCGCAATCTCATCGGCCACGACCCAGAACACCGCGTCAAAGTGGGCTTTGTGGCGGCGAGCGAATTCGCGGGCTATTTCGGTCTTACCGATTCCACCAAACCCGCATAGCGCGAATTGTCGCAATCCAGTGCTTGATGCTGCGACCACATTTTTCGAGGGTAAGAGTTCAGCCGCGAGACGCTCCAGGATATCCTCGCGACCGCAAAAGTCACTATTTGCAGAATGCGAGTTGAGGAGATAGCAGGGTAGATTGAGGATCTTTCGAATCTCAGACTTGGGTGTGGCCGGATGTACCAACTCAAATCCCGCGAGAGAGGTTCCTGATGTTGCTTGGTTTGACGGCCATTCGGTTGCTTGGTTTGATGGCCATTCACTTTGCTCGAATTGCTCAGCTGTGCGACATGAGTATAATGACCTGACCCAGATGCTAAGGTCAAGAACTCACCTCTCCAAGGTGCTTCACTCATCGTGGGCGAGTAGGCGCTCATCGTTGCGTACTGGTACTCCTCTGACATCGGTCATTAACTTGTCCTTGCGGCATTGTAATACTCCATAACCTACGATCTTCGAGCCGAAGGGCAACAAGCTGCACGGCGCTTTCCATAGTATCGCAAATAAACTTGTTCAATTCGGGTAGGCCTTCGCCGCCAATGCTCTTAGTGAAAAGACAAGTATCGTGATGACTGAGGTTAAGTCCGATGACCGTTTCCATCGGAGCATGAGTCGAACAAGATTCTCTGGTGACCAACTACAACTTGAGTTAGTATTTGCTCTCAGTTTAGATATTCAGCTCCGAGACTGACTTGTTGGTACTTCGGAAGCAATGGTGTCGAGCTATTCTTCGATTCTCTGAGTTCGTAGACGGACAATATGGGGGTGCGGAAGGAGATTCCTTCGAATCGATCTGCGAGGTCAAGCAGAATCGAGCCTTCTTGCTCAATGTGAGCACCTGAGGTCTTGAGGGTCTTGCCGGTGGTTGATTCTAAAATGTCTCGGAACCTATTCCAGCTCGTGGTCCCGTCTTCGTAGCGATGCGGTGTGCTTAGGAATACAACGCCAGCTGTCGCGTTGACAATCGACTCAAACCGGAAGAACTGCTTGTTGGCAATGCACAAAGCCTGCTTGACTATGATGCCACCCAGGCTGTGACAGACAACCATGATGGGTCTGGTTGATATCTGTGGAGGGGTGCATCAGTGAGCATGCCTATACCTCGCAGGTAACGAAAGCTGACGGAATAGTCTACCTACCAGATCTGAGCTCAGTTGAGATCGCGAGTCATTCAGATGCTGCAAGAAATCGTAAGCTAGCATCAGCATGGACTCCCATGAAGATTTGCTTCCGGCGAATGGCGAAGCATATTCGTAGGCGAGGATGCGTGCCCCAATGGCGGACTCGGGGAGGGTGGCGAGCCACTTCTGGCTTGCAAACGGCCAGTCCTCTGGGGAGGCTGTCCCGATTCCAGTAACGAGGACGATGCTGGGTTGGTGGTTAGTGAGGCGAGTACACCAAGGCTGGAGGTGCATTCTGCTTACTCAATCCCATACTGGGAGTCATTAATCGGGTCCCTCAAAGTCCGAAGGCGGCCATGGGGAGGAAAGCTCGTCATAATGGCTATAGGTCTGCAGCTTACAGAATGTCGAGAGGTGCCAGACTCTCAGAGCCCTCAACTGTCTGTGAGGTGAGGATGGTGAAGTCTTACGATCCCTGTCAATGGCACAGGAGATGATGCGGGGTAGTTACATACTAGTAACTAGCCTCTAGTCGCTAACCTCACACACGCAATCTCAACAATCGACGGACTTCCATCACATAGCCGTATATTGAATGATCTCTCGATGACAACGAGAAAAAGATGTGGTGGAGCTGGCGAACAAATGAGGTATCCTATCCAGGCGGTTTCGTTGCCATTCCAATGCTGTGTTGAAAGAGAGAGGATTCGGCTCCCCTACACCCACCTACCGGCTGCCTCAGGGAGACATATTCGCCTCTCCGATAAACAACTTTCATAACTACATATCCATTCTCGATCACCAACGTGCTTCTGTTTCGTGGCCACTATTTGATGTTCATTCTGGGTTACAATCGGCTGGAAACCTTGAAAATCGATGCAACGTAGTTGCAATGCAGTTAAGGACATCGTCATGTTCCATCAAATCGATTCCATCAATCATGGTCTCGTGATCGGTGATCTAAACCAATATACTTTACAGTTATCTAAATAGTGATAGATTCTCCAAGGGGCATGCACCATGCTGGGAACAGTCCCTTCCCGCAGCAGTTAGCCTGGTATCTCAAGCCCATACTTCCCGGCATCAAAATGCTCCAAGCTCGGAAGACTTTCCGCCCAGCCATCATCGATCTCGCCTAGCTGCCACTCGTCCCCGAGGCGAAACATCCCGGATCTCCCAGCGAGCACCTCCGACTCCCTCCCCCGGTACTCCATCGCCACATCCGGATGCGGAACCCACACAACCCTCATCCCCGCTCGTCGTCCAGCCTCCACCCCGGCCAGACTATCCTCAAAGACCAGACACTCCTCCGGCAAGATCGGCCTTCCACCCTGCTCTACCGCCGAATTCAACGCCTGCAAGGCAACCAAGTAAATATCCGGCGCGGGCTTCCCTCGACCCTCCCGCACGCGGGGGTCATCCCCGAGGATCCGGCGATCCAGCGGGAAGAAGCTCAGCAAACGTCTCGTTTCTGGCAATGTGATCTTGAGCTCGTAGCTCGGGGACTTGGTGCTCGATGCCAGCGCTAGCGCTAGTCTGTCCCCGGATGAAGACGAAGAAACGCATCGTGCACGGCTGAGGTCCGAGAGGAGCTTCTCCGCGCCAGGAAGTGGGGTGCAGGTGGGGAAGTCGCGGCGCATCTGCTCGTGCAGCTCGCCGGCGAACTGCTCGCGGGGGGTGGGCAACTGCGCCCAGTCGTGGAACGCGTCGCTGCTGGTCGAGTCCGGGACGCCCATGAGCTGGGCCCGGATCGATCGAGTGAAGGCCGGTCGGTGGTACTTTGCTAGGAGTTTGTTCGTGGATTGGGTGATGATGTCTTCGGAGTTGATGAGAAGACCGTCCATGTCGAAGATGCAGGCGCGGACTGCTGGGAAACTGAGGGTTTGCTTCGTTAGCCCGCGGGTGGTACAGTACTATACGGCTTTGCCTCGTCGAGCAGGAAATGAATGACCTCATGATAACCTTCCCACACGGGATATCAACTGGAAGGGAACTTACTCTCTTTTGGGACGAGTCATGGCTCCTTAACTGTGTGAGAGCTAGCTCCCAATTGATAAGAGCATGGGTTAGTCGGAGGGGTACAATCCGAGAGAGAGTTCGAGCCGAGTTGAGAAAGCTATTGTGCAGTGTTGGTTGAATGAGGTCCCTAGCAGTTAGCGTCTATACCCAAGATCGTCTAGCGTGGCTGCACCCGCACGACGGTGGGTGGTTGGGATGGGGAAGAACACCTGGTGCCAACTTCATCATGTCACTTGCAAGAGTGCTTAGTACACTATGTGTCGATTGGATACTGAATAGTATAGTATAGTTGACCTCGTTGGCCATTTCATGATCGAGATGGTGGGCATGAAGTGATGCGCAGCACAGACTGAGGCTTGATGTAAGTAGCAAGTTATCCACAGACAACAGGAAATCCAGGCCAATGGAAGCTCGTTCTTAAGCGCTGGGTTGCTGCCGCTAAGGTGCGTCGATCCATTTGTGACCACCTAGTATGTCTTCGATGAATTCACATTGTCTAGACTGGCAGATCGATAGGTCTGCAGGCGCAGCGGTGTTTGCGTGAATTGCAGGGGGGTGTGATAGCATAAAGAGAATTAGTCCTGCCACTTATGCGTGGCGTTGTCAGTCTTTGGTCTAGCAAAGCTTTGGACGAGACTTTGACCTGAATACCAGCACACAAACGCATTTAGACATCTAGTTAAACCCCCCCCCCCTAGTCGGCGGTTGAGACAGCACATGGAAGGACACATGGCGCGTCGGAAATCTGCACGTGGGTTCTTAACTTCCATCTACAACCGCGTCCTATCCACTCATACATGCCCCCTTAATAGTCACACCCGAGAATTACACCCGAGCCATCATCTCCCTCTCCAGGAGGTACTCGAGCACCTCGGTCTTCCCAGGAAGCAACTATGTAGACCTCGCAGAGTGGATGCTGCAAGATCGTGGGGTGAACCCCAGACCCGAAGAACATGCCACCTGCCTCGCTTCGACGGCCGAACAAACTCATGATCTAGTTGTAGTATACGGAAGTAGCGAGAGCAAGTGGGGCGTGCAGTCATATAGCTGTGAGCAGCACGAGACCTTTTGCGCTGCCGCGTCGGTGCCGGCGCACGGCTTAGGGCAGATGATCTTCATTCGAGGCTTCATATCGCCATCCTGGGTGTCGGTCCTCGGGAGCAAATACAGTATCGATCCGGAGTTCTTCCGACGCCATATGGATTTCCTGTCCGCGAGTATCGACAGGCATTCGTACAGTTTTCCATCCCTATCGAGCTCCTCGGAGAATGTCTACCGACTGTGCGTGAGCACGATCCTGCATCGCGACGATTTCGGCGGACAGGATCTCCAGAAGCAGCGGGCTCAGGAACTGAAGGAGCTCGGCATCTACAAGATCCAGCAGCTGGGATCGGGGCGAGTACGATGCGGAGACTCCCTGGTGCGAGAGTACTCTACCATCTGCCCGCGCTTCTCTGTGATCGAGCAATGGATCTCGCTCTATGTCACAAAGACAGAGAGAGGTTGGATTGGTAAGAGTGCGATGCCACTTGACCGGAGAGCGTGGCCTAAACTGATAAGCAATAATTTCCTCTAGCGATTGCCTGGATGGACCAAGGGAGACCGCTTGAGGAATCCCCCCCAGGACCATGGACAAGCCACATCGAAGCCAAAGCCACACCACTCCCCATCCTGCAGCACCACCCCAAAATGGCCTTTCGCACAACCACCAACCGTCTCGACCCGGACGCGAACGCTTCAGCAGAGATCCAGCAAAGCACAGCCATCCTTCCCCTGCAGTACGATTCCTTGATCGCAATGGTCAATCTGGCGCGTCGGGCACCCCAAGATCCGCTCTCCATGTGCATTCCTCTCTTCGCGCACGCGGCGTTCTCCGAAGTGCAGTTCTTGAACCTCCTGGAGTCCAAAGTCCAGGCGCAAATCAACGCGATTGCCGATGGGGTTCCCGCCGACGACGCGCTGGGGGTTCTGCATTTCTTCTCGAACATGCTCCAGCGCCATGCCGGACAGCTGAAAGATAGTACCCGTGCGCTCTACAGGTTAGCTGAGCGAAGCAGTCCAGATCTCACGGGAATGAGATCACTGAGTCCACTGCCCACAAATGCCGCGCTGTCGGGTCGCCTTGGCACCGGCACCACGCGTCGACCCAGCGCGGAATCCGAGGGAGCCAAGATGGCCGGTGGCTATGGTGGCAACGGTGCCTTTGCAGCCGCCGGGCTGTTTGAGGATTATGAGGAGCTGTATGTACGCTGCGTCGACTTGTCGAAGATGTGCACCCAAGGCATCACTCTCGCAATGAATAAAGCCACGATAGAGGAATCGCGCAAGGCCATTGAGCAGTCGGAGCGACTGAAGAGGTTGACTCTGCTGGCGACGCTGTTCATCCCTCTCAGCTTCAGCTCCAGTCTTTTGGGGATGAACATCGATCTGCTGGGGCAGAATGCGGTGAGATTTTGGTGGTTCTTTGTGTTGTGCGTGCCGATCACGCTGTTTGCCTACATCGTCTATCTATGGGACTTCCAGGCTTTGGTAAGATGCTGCGTACGGCTTTGGAAAGGATGTCGGGGGTTTGTTCGAGATAAGACCGGTGAGAGGTCCAAGAAGGAACCAGGGTATATGGTGTGATTGTCAGTATGTTGGAGATGAAGCATGTTCAAGAACAGAGTACAAATTGCTAACGGCAGGTGGGGCGGTACCAATGAGGTGGGCATATACCAGACGGAAGAAGGGCTTCAATAGATGCTGCACAAATAGCTATCGCTATAGATCAGCTAGTTGCACAAGATAGAAGGAAACAGAAGCTTCCTTCTCATTCACATCAACTATGATGGCATCAATATTGTCGCCTCGACGAAGTCTATAGATCCCACCGTGATACAAGTATCGGCAAAGTGGATGGAAGCAAGCGATAAGATAAGGAAACCCCACTAATCCCAATCCGGCCGACCATCAAAGAAAAGTAGCCCAGTGATGTCCCCGGCCGTCGCGATCCATCCCCATCCAATTCAACAACCAACAACCTCAGCATTTACCAAGTCCTCCTCTCCAACCTCCTCGCCAACCTCGAACCTCTCCCATTCAATCTTCCACCAGGTTATCAACAACAAACCCAACTCAAAATGCCCAAACCAACACCCCCACCACCAACAGCACCCGCAACAAAACCCCACTCCCACCCAGAAAGCCTGACCTTCACAAAAAAGAACCAAAACATGACCAAACTCCCAAAATGTACGCCTATCCCTCTCCCTAATCCCAAATTCCCTCAAACCAAATCCATCCCCTCCCCTCCCTCCCGGCTCAACCTCAAAGCTAACACTCCCCCTTCCGCAGACGCCAGAATCACCAAACGCCCCATCCCGCACCCCGCCCCGTCAACACCATACACGGGCGCCGACATCCCCAAAACCATCTACGTGTCGACGACCACCCCCAAGATGAGCGTCGTGACGCGCGTCCGGAAGCTGCTGCGGCAGGCGGAGAGACGAGCCACCGCGGGATTGCACTCCACGAAAGGGGGGCGGCAGCACCACGGCGGGAGAACGCAAGCGGAGCGCGTGGCGCAGGTGCAGGAGGCGCTGCGGCGGGAGGAGGTGCATGTCAAGGCGACGGGGCGGGCGATTGCGAAGGCCGTGGCGGTGGGCGAGTATCTGCGGGATGCGGCGGGGGGTGGGGAGTTTCGGGTGACGGTGACGACGGGGAGTGTGCTGGTTGTGGATGATGTGGAGGTTGATGAGGCCGCTAAGAAACGGGTGGTGGAGGGGGCGGAGAGGATGAGGAGGGAGGTGGAGTCCGGGGTGGAGGAGGGGAGTGGGCGGGTTTTGTCGAAGGCGGCGATTAAGAAGAGGAGGAGGGCTGTGAGGGGCTTGGAGTCGGCGGTTAAGGGTGAGAAGAGCGAGGGGGAGGGGGAGGGGAAGGGAGAAGGGGGTTTGGGGGAGGAAGAGGAGGGAGAGGATGAAGAGGAGGAATTGCCCGAGTCGCGGACGAGGTGGGTTAATATGGTGGATGTTGTGGTGGGGTTGAAGTAGGATTCCTTGCTGGGTTGGGAATGATGAAGAATAATTCGAGATAATGGTATTGATGACGAATGGAGCATCATCGGGGACATACCCACAACTATCCTGGGTGCTTCGGATGGAAAGGTTGCCTATCGTCAAACCACAGATACAGAGGCGTCAAGCCAAGGCCCCGAACACTCCAAGCTGAAGTGTGCTGTCCAGCAACAGACGATGGCACACCAGCTGCGCAAAAGAGACAGCAAGACATGCTGACTCCTTGCGATTACCCCAGATCAGATATCTATCAGCAGACTATACAAGTCGCAGGCCATACTACAGCTACAGCCACAGCTGCAAGACTTCCATATGTTCAATCCATTCGCACCTCTAGGTGAACCAGCTTGTAAGAAGAAATATACAGGAAGGACCGTGGGAGAAAGTTAAGCATTCATCGCGCTGAAACTCAAGGAAGTAATGCTATGTAGACTAATACACAAAGGCGGGTATGCCTTACATGACCTGCTTCTGCCCATGATAAGAAAAGAAAACATTAACAGGAAATAAACCACTGCGGCCAGGGATTCGTTACTGGATCAACAGGGCGCCAACGAAGAGATGATATCTAACAACAGAAAGGCAAGCGAGAGTCATGCAGGTTATGCAAAACAACTGCATATAATGGGGCCGCAAGAAAGGGCAAGTATAGAGAGAAGAAAGAAACCCACAGCCAACGCAGAGACCCTGTTAAGCGTTGGTTCAGAGTACACGGGAAGAGAAGGGAGTCAGAACTAGGAATCAATATGACGGGAGTAGAAAATGGGCACAGTAAGGATTGGACGGCGGTAGACCAAAAGGTCTCCAGGGTGCAATAACAACGGGGGTGAAAGGGACCTTTTCGAAATAAACCAACAATTCAAGCCATTCGCTCAAAACAAACATAACATGGTGGCAGGAAATTGTTCATTTATCCATCTTCTGCCAGCCATTCAGGTAGGCCATTAATCCGACCCCTAGAAGCACGACTCCCAGCATTGACGCAAATGGACTGGATTGCTCCAGAACGTCATGTCGGCGAGGCTGCGCGGCCAGTTTGGAATCTGCAGCGTCATCTTCTTTCATGCGGGGTGATGCAACAGGCTGCAGTCGTGGGTCGCTAGGCTCGGAAGCATCTTTCTCGATGGCATTCTCCGCCTTGGTAATCGTGGTGTCAGGAACATGGCTTGTTCCTGAAGCCTCCATCTTGGCATCGCTCTCGGCACGCTCCGCGCGCTCTCGTCGTAATGTCTCAATCATCTCCGCCAGGGACTTGCGTGCTTCAGCCGTTTCACTTTCCGCATGTTGGGCCTGTTCTTTGAAGATCGTCACTTGCTTCTTCATTTCTTCCATTTCCTGGATCATCGTTTCCAGACGATGTTGAAGATCCTCGGTGCGAATAACCGCGGAACCCGCCTGCTCCACCTCGGTCGCAACTTCCGCGGCAACTTCGGCAGCAGGCTCTTCTACCGACTTATCCATCGGCGCAGTTTGCGTGGTCTCGTGATCAGCGTCGCTGCACACCGAAGTATCATGCGTACCATTTGTGACGGTCCGCATCTCCAAAGTTCTAGCCTTTTCTTCGGCGGATTCGCGAGCCGATCGCTCTTGAAGCAACATGGCTTCTAGTTCCTTGACACGGGCGCCTTGGGTGTCAAGCTCCCGTTTGGCGGATGACAATGCTTCAATCAGGGAAAGGATTTGACTGTTATCACGACTGACAGGCGAGCTGCCACCAAGCTTGGGTTTCTCGGTATCGGAACGCTTCAGAGGGGAGAGAGAGTCTGTGCCATTTCGAGGTAGAGCGTCCGGCTTCTCAGGGAGCGGTTGCTGTGGAGGAGGTGCGGGAGGCTCGGAAAACCGTGAGAAAGAGTCTACACGAGGGATTTTGGGTCTGCCATTGATTGCGCGAGCGGCATTGGTATCGGGCGGCGAGTGCTTCGCCTTTTCTTTCTCGGGCTGACCGGGTTTCATCAGAGTCGTCAGGAACTCATCCGTCTGCCGGAGCTCCTGCGATTGCTGTTTCGCCTGCTTCATTTCGCTCTGGTGTTTTGATTAGCCTCGTTCGGCCCCGAAGAGAACACAGTCACCTACCGTGAGTCGCTTGACCACTTGCTCTATTGAGATCGGCGAATTCCAGTAGTTCATTTGACGTTGTTGCTGCATCGCATTGAACTGACTACTCGCTGCGCTTTGTACACTGCGATTGCTCATGGTACTACCTGACCGACCGCGAAGCTGTAGCATAGGCTGGGTGAGTGGCGATGGAACAAGGCCATTGCCAGCTGAAGGATCCAAGTCGCCGAGCGTCAGGTCGAGTATGTTGGGAATAGACGCATAGATACCCGCATGCTCGACCTTGGCGGACACCTTGTGGTGGACAATCGTCTTCTGATCTTCGCTAACAATATCTATTCCGAGTTCTAAAGTATCGTTCTCGCGCAACTCATGAGGATCGGATTCGCGGTTCTCCTGGGACAGGCGCTTTCCGTTCACGAATGTACCGTTGGACGATTTTACATCGCGGATCCAGATCTTCCCGTTCTTATCGGCCCAAATCTCAGCGTGCTGCCGTGATAGCACCTTCGAGTCGAAAAAGCCATTCACTGGAGTGGGCACTGTCTTCGCATTGGTCTGTCGGCCAATGCGTATCAGCTCCGGGTAAAAAGGCACGGTGATTTGTTTCTTCTCGAAAGTGCCGTTGATGGGCAAGAGGGTCAAGATCGCAGGCGGGTCGCCCTGTGGCACGCTCCCAGCGCGGAGGCCATTTTGTTGCTGGGAGAGTTGGAGCATATGCTGAGACGGAACAATGGATGACGGCTGGTGGACCGCGGACAAAGCACCAGGGCCGGAGGAAAAGGCCGGCATGGCTTGAGAAGAAGGTGGAATACCCCGTAGGGACTGCGGTTCGGAATTAGAGGTATGCCAGAGATTTCTCGAGGGCTTCTTCTTGCCCCAGGTATTTGTGGGCGCAGATTGTGCGGGGCCCGAGTTCTGTTCAGTAAGAGCCACTGTAGTTGAGGCGGAGCCGTTGGATCGGAGGGATGACGAAGAATTCGATCTCTGAACGGTCTTTCGAGGCATAAATGTCCGAGACACTTCTTCCGCATCCATTGAAGAAAAAGCACCTTGTCCTCCGTTACCAGTATCGAACCATCCCATGCGAGGCCCCGTTTGCACACTAGGTGGTGATGCCACAGCAGTCATGGAGAAGGATCACCGGAGGGAGGCGCTAAGTGTTGTGAATTGTAGCTCGGTGGGTTTATCACATAGGCGCTCGTCCGGTCAACAATGACTGCAACAAGGGCAAGAGAGAATATTCACTCGGGCGACAATCAGCAGCTGCAACTCGTCGCGACAGATACTCGAGGTGAAAGAAATGCAGCGATGGCTGGCGCGCCGACAAAAAAAATGGCTGTGGTAACCCAATACGACTGTTGGGAGGAGGTCACGTTAGCAATTATTCCCGGACGAGTCCTTCGATAAACATCAAAGCCCCTTCGGAGTCGAGGCAGCAACGGCAGGCGATGGGCCCCCTTAGCCCCTCTCTATTATAAGATAGATCACATTGGACTTACCAGTGTTTCACTCGTACAAAGGGCCGAGATCAGATTAAAGTGGGTTTGGGCGGGAGATTTAGAAAAGCGCTGGGAGGAGACCAGGGAGACGTCAAGGTCTTGGCCCAACCCGAGGAGCGACCGGCAGAAGCAACGGTCCAGCGAAGGGAGAGGATTCTAAGGAGCAGGAGCAGGTAAAAAGAGGGCACACGCAGGACGGAACTGCCGCCGTGCATAGGCTCTAAGGCCGTCGAGGAATATGAATCGACACACTAGAATCAGACGGTTTGCGACCAGATCCCATGGGTGTGGTAACCGGGCGACTGAAGCGGGAGCGAGCGAGAGGGAGAGCCCACAGCATCATCAGCTCACGGACTTCCTTCGCTCCTCCTCCTTCTCCTGCTCTTCTCCCCTAACCTCCACCCGCCTCAGGCCTAGATCACGTGAGGCAACACGTGTGGCTTATGTCATCTCCCGGCGAAGAGAGCGTGCCGAATCAGGCAGGCGGTATCACGTGCCAGGTGGTGGGCATTGCCTGAGCCTCGGGGCTTTGCCGGGCATGCGCTGGAGCTTCGCTTTGCATCTCGACGCCGGCAGTGTCTTCGTGCTCTCGTGTACTGTACCCTTGAACAATTCTATTCTTCTTTACTTCAATTTTAATTTATTTTCTTTCTTCATCATGCCTGTTGTTGCTGGTCCCCCTCAGGCCCACGGCCCCAACACCTTCGAGAAGAGTAAGTCTCAGACAATCCGCAGTACAAGTGGACCTATGCTCCAGGCTTCTATGAGCATGTGCTAATGAGTTATACAGTGAAGATGGGTGCTTTGATGGGATCCAGTAAGCCTTACTTTTCCTGCCCTGCCAAAACCACTAGGGTTGGGAGCTAACATCATCACTCGCCAGCTGTCGGTGGTATCATGGGCTTCATCATCGGTGAGTATCCATGCGAAGGAGTCACAAACTGTATCAGCTAACATGCCCCAGGCACCGTCACTATCTTCCAGTATGGAGCCGGTCCCAACGGTGTCTTCCGCACCCTGGGTAAATACATGCTTGGTTCGGGTGCCACTTTCGGGTATGTGGTTGGACTATACCTTGTTCCTTTTTTTTTCTTCGCTGTTTATACAAGCCAACAACCCCCGCTAACAAATTCGGTCTCAAACAGTCTCTTCATGTCCATCGGTAGCGTCATCCGCACCGAGGGTCCTTACAATGACGCCTGGCTCCGCGCTCGGGGCCCCCCGATGATGCTCCCCCGCCAGAGCCCCCTCCGTCCCATGCGCGAGTAGACCACCCGAATACCCTTGAAAGGATTGTGGGAAGCGGAATCGGAGCGATGAGACGAGGATGAGCAGCGGGCAAATTGTACAATAGCTATACTGAATGACGGTTTCTGCGGATCACGGCAGTTATTTTGATCGCAGCTTTCCGGCGGTTTTGAGAAAACTCGACTCGCTTGCTGAGCCAGAGAGCAGACAGAGAGAGCCCTGGACGCGGACTATATTATGTACATAGGTGGGAGTGAGGTGCTTCGGAGCCGCCTCGAGTCCAGGAAAGCCCTGCGATGTATCTTGGCGTTTATAGCACGGTTGGGTAAATTTAATGGACAGTCATGAATGATGACGGCAGAGAGATATCTTGTATGGTCGGCGGAAAGCACAAACGCGAATCTAACTGCGTAGTTTCTATGTAATAATGGTCTATTGAGCCCCAAGATCCACCAGTCTATATCTCTAAACCCAAGAATGAAATCGCTAAAGGAGATCGCTCCCGCTATATACAGCGCACCTACAACTCCCCCATGTTGCAACCCCTCGTACCAAGACACCGCTACTAATTTCCATCCTGCTTCTTCGGCGCCCACACCAACCACCCACACCCGATCAGAAACTTAATGCCGGCCGCCAACCAGAACGTCGACGCCATCCCGCCGGCGCTGCGATTCAACCACCCGCCGACGATCGCCCCGACCAGCAACATCACGACGCCGGCGACGCGGCGATTGCGCTTGACGTTCTTGCCGGCGAAGATGTTCATGTCGGACGCGATGTCGAAGTACACGCTCGTGATCACGACGCTGGGGATCTCGTTGTACCCCAGCGAGCGCGTGGAGTTGATCGAGCCGGCCGACTGGAACGCCAGCAGGCCGATGGGGATCAGGTCCAGCAGCATGTGGTGCTGGTGCGCGCTGTTAACGTTGGGTTGCGCGATCAGCCCGGCCTGGATCAGCGACACCGCGATCACGATCAGCGCCACCTGCACCATGAAGGAGGCGAACAGCGTCCCGCGCCGCGTGGGGCCCAGCAGCCGGCCGGCGCGGCTGAAGCAGAACGAGCCCAGCAGGAAGCTGCTGATCGACACGAGGGATTTGAGCCAGCCGTAGGGCGCGTCGCGGGGCAGGTTCGAAGCGCCCAGGCCGAGGACGATCGTGTTTCCTGTTGTTTGTTCTTGGTTGGTCATTCGGTTCTTTGGGTTTATGGAAGATGGGAGGGGAGGGGATGGTAGGGATTGTAGAAGGGGAAACATTGCGCCGCGGGGGGAGTGGGGGAAGCAACCGAAGAAAGAACTTACCAGTCTGCATAGCCAAGAAGCACGACCAGGCATTGAAGGCTGAACTATCGCAGAGACCCGTCAGGAAGCATAGCACCACACAGATCAGATCCGCGTAGTTGCTGTCGATGTTCTGTTTCAACCGACTTTCTTTGCTGCCGCCCATCATCCCCTGCATTTTGCCGGATTTCTCGGACGACGACTCCACGACGGGCAGGACCGGGGATTTGCCAGTGTCAAAGGGCTGGGACATTCTAGCCTCTCGATGATGATGATGATGATGATGACGATAAAGCAACTCGACTGGTATGTAGCCGACTTGTGAAGTGGACTGCAGCCGACGTCAGAGACACAAACAAACAGATGAGATCGATCTTGGGGAAGCAGAGGCAGAGGGTGGAAGAAGGTATAGGGCGGTCCACTAACACCCTAAACCCTAGATACGCCCTCAAAGAGTCATTGTTCCCTCTTCAACCTTGGACTAAATAGTACTGTACCGCTGATGAAGTTTTTCCGTTGAGGCTGTTTTCGGATATCCCTCCTCGTGAAACTTTAATTGCTTCGTTTCTTCTTAGTTGTTACACTCCTCCAATTCCACGCCGAGCCAGGCTAGAAAGCACGCAATTGCTTGTTGTGAAGACGGCATTTTCCTGACTCCACAGCAATTCATCTAGGGGTGGGCTATCAGACCTGGAAAGGCCCAGAGTCGTCAGCCCTATGGAGTCATCGGCAAATGGTTTTGGATAATTCTTTGCCAGAGCGGAACAGTCGGCTTCGCGCTAGCCTCCACAAGGCTGACATACTCCCCGCTCATTGGGTGCGGTGACCCGACCACAAGGCTAGTGCCGAAAGCTTAGGGCCGATGCCGGGGCTTGTCCCTCTGCTTCGCTGCTATGGTAGGTCGCTGCTCGGTATGCGGTAGCTACACATACCTCGCAAATGGTGCCTCGAAGACTCTTAAGTGAGTGACACGATCTTGCTCTGGTAGTCTCAGTCTCAGTAAGTTTTCACAATCTCAGTAGTTGGATTTCAAAAAAGCTACCACCAAGATATTGAAAAAGTACCCAAGATATAAATGTTGCTAAATAGCGGACAGGTAAAGACTAAGTAGAAGTAATGTAGACACAGACAAAAAACTGGAAACAAGGAAGAGCACGCTCATAGCTTATAGCTTCGACATCCCCCCTAGTGGAGGTGTGCTCCAAGTTTCCTTGATAAGGTCAGCGCACTTCTCACCGATGCCGTATGCAGGCATTTGTGTATGGCCTCCATGTAGCGTTGGCATGACACTGCAATCAGCAACGCGCAACCCGGATACCCCTCGCACTCGTAGCTTATGGTCAAGAACGGCGTTAGGATCACCATCCTTGCCCATAGCGCAAGTACCTGCCGCATGGTAGCCTGTCATATGAAAATCAGTACGGCCACGCCTGAAAACAGATAGGATTTGACTTACAGGTCGTTCCGTGCTCTTTGACGTAGGGAATCCACTCTTCCCTTTTGGTGTACGTATGATGGGTCAGATTGGGCGGCCATGATCCCTTGACAATGTCTTTCGTTCCAGCTCCTTGGGTGATAATCTCGTTGGCAAATCGACAGGCTTCTGTGAGAACAAGGAGGTCCAATGGATCCGAAAGATAATTGCAGTCCACTATAGGATTCTCAAGCGGGTTCTTCGAGGATAGTGTGACGCTCCCACGAGACCGGGGAGAAAACAATTCCGCAATGATAGAAAATGCATGCTTGTGGTCGGTAGGAAATTGGTCGTACTGTTTGGGACCACCATAACATTCCGTGGTGAAAAATTCAACATTAGGCTGCTTCGGAGTCAAGCCCATTGGGTCACGACCGGGCTCCCGTGGTGCATCTCGCCAAAGTGGTTCGTCCTTGAGACGGTCGTCAAGTCGGGCAAATGCGAAACAACCAAATGGAAACGTTGAAAGGAACCCTTTCTTTTTCTCCTTCCAAAGTGCGTAACTCTTCTCGAAGCTGTCACCGTGGTGGACGAGGTAATCATTTGTCAAGCCGGGCTTTTCAGTCTCATAGAACATGAAAACAATCTGGAAACCGCTTGATGAGCGACGTGTGTCCACGAACTCGGAATTCTCCTCAGAGCAACATACCATATGGTCAAGGAGGTTCTGACCCACTCCTGGCAAATCCACCTTGCATTCAATGTCATGCTTACTTAGCTCCTCCTTGGACCCTATTCCAGATCTCATGAGAATTGCTGGACTGCAGTATGCACCCCCAGAAATGATAATCTCTCTCTTTGCGTAGATAGATCTCGGGCCATCGGGCGTGATGACCACCACACCTTCAGCCTTCAAGCCCTCGGAACCGTGCCCCAGAAGAACCTTATCGACAGTGGTTTCAGTCATAACTGTGACATTGGACCGGAGGTATCCGTTCGTAATGAAATCACCACTTGTTGTACGGATACCCTTGTGTACTGTTCGTGGTACGTGACCACATCCGTGGGGCGTCTCCCCAGTCGTGAACATGTCATGGTCAAGTGGAAGACCCTGTGAGACAAAGGAGTCCATAATCAAATTGCTAATTGGTGCAAGATCGTGTGGCTCGACATGCAAAGGTCCGGACTGACCATGATACTCGTGGTTAGCCTTAAACCAGGGCTTCGAGTGAAATGTCTCGGCCTGCGACCACATGTCAGCTCAATCAATGGTATCGCATGTCGCAGCAGCATCACGAAAAGTGACCAACCTTTCGCATGCATTGAAAAAATTCTTGACCACCCCAACCATCGAGGCCCCAATCATCGTAGTCTTGCTTACAACCACGGATACAGAGGGTTCCGTTGCACCCACTACTGCCGCCTAGGAACCTGCCCCTGCTTAATTTGACCTGCCGGTTGTCAACACCAGACATCGGACGTGTGACAATGTTCCAATCCGTTTCTTTATCAAAATTGGTGGACCAGCTGAAATTGCCATGGTCAATAACGTTTCATGTAGGCTTGTTATCGTATCACTCACGCCCCGGCCATGTGAACACTCTCCAGATCTTTATTATGTTGTCCAGCCTCGATAACGAGGATTCTCACTTGCGGATTCTCGGCCAGCCGCCCTGCAACGACGCATCCTGAAGTGCCTCCTCTGGGTTGAAGAGTGTTAGTTGCCGAACAAGTGATTGAGAGGACTGGATGAGATGATGTCCGCCCTCTGACCGTAGACATACTTACCCGCAGATAATGTAATCGTAAAATTCTCGATCCTCCATCTTTTCCGTCATTTTGTATGAGGAATTGCAATTAGCGATAGTAAAAAGTAGAAAGGAATGGCAGTGTCAGCGTTTTTTAAGACGAAGGCTCCTTTTAAGGACAGATCTTAGAGTGAAAAGAAATTCCGCGATCATAGTCGGTGAGCCGCAGCCATGCTGCAACTCGATAGCGCATTCACCAATGGAAACGAGCATGATACGAGACTACCAACAATAATGGTAAGCTTCGATATCTCGCTACGGAAATGATCGATCAAATGTGGAGGAATGTGGAGTCGCCGAGACTTTTCGCGGTGTACAAGAATGCGGGGTAGCTGTGAAGACGGATATATCACAACCATCACGGAAATACGCGGGTTTGCCTCCTACCGGTGGCGGCCCGATTGATCGGAGCTACTTTCGCTCGTCAGATTAGAGTTGCGGGCCAATTCCGCAATCTGGCTCAATTTTGAGTCGTCATCAATAGTTAAATGTGGCGTTTGAGGATTGCGATGGCCTGTATATAGTGCGTTCGTCTCCTCCAGTCCTTTGCCAGATGTCTCCGGAACGAAGGCCCAGACGAACAGAAATCCCAGCACGGATATGCCTGTGAAGAACCAAAACGTGCCTTTGGGCGTGAGCGAGTCGTGACTGAGGAGCATCATAGGGGTGGCCTAAGTGGGTTAGTGTATTGTTTATGTACAAAGGTCCTTTGGATGAAAACCAAACCTTAGAAACTCCAATCCGGTTGGCGTAGTGCCAAAGTGTGACCAGGCTTACTCCGACAATTCGAACTCCCAGTGGGAATGTTTCCGCTGGGATGAGGTACTGCATAGAGTTCCATCCAAGCGCCCAACTGAGTCCGATCATGTAGATCATCACAATCGCGCCAATAGCTGCGTGTCTGACTGCTGGTTCCTGCTGCGAGCTCGGCGACAGGTCTGCGAACATTGTGAGAAAGATAGAATCATATGCAAGAGCTATGATCTGGATAACCAGACCGAGATAAAGCGTCTTCCGCCTGCCCAATGCATCGAGCAAGAAGAGAGCGGAAACCAGCGCAGATGCGAATTTGACAGCTCCAAAGATTGCTGTCGTGAAGAGCTTTTGCGATTGCCCCTCAATGCCAAAGAGCTCAAAGAGCTCAGGAGCATAAGCTAGGCTTGGTCAGCATGAATCCTTAGTTGATAGTCGGAAAGGGCCCCATTTGGCTCACTTGTCACAGAATTGGGACCGGACCACTCTCCTAGACATTGAAGAGTGAAGATGAGAGCGATGCGCCTCAAATTGTCCTTCGTTGTGAAAAGCTCTTTGATAGCACCCAAGACACGCAGCGAAGATCTACTCTGGTGCTCCAACTCGACTTGGGCCTGGGCGTTCGCTATCTCAACATGAATACCAGGGTCCATGACGGACAAGTTCCATAGTCTTGCGAATGAGTGTAAGGCGGCTCTGGGATGATTTATCTTGCACAGAAACCGAGGACTCTCCTCACAGAGAAAGGAACAAAGTACGAGTAATCCTGCCCACATGATTTGGATGCTCTGCGGAATGACCCACTGCCTGGCACTAGAGCTGGGGATATGCATGGAGGCACCCCATATGGAGAAGTACTAGACACCATCAGCGACCGGATACCATATTGTAGATTACTATTCCTTACCCCTATCATAATTCCCAGATATTCCGACATGCCGTACATGCCCACAATCATGCCGCGAATCTGCCGTGGAGCTACTTCACCCAGGTAAACGGGTGCAATCACGCCATACTGCCCAATGCCCAGCCCCATGATAAATCTTCCAGCAAATACTTGTCCAAGTGTATGCGATGTAATGAAGACAATTGAACCGATGATCCACAGGAGGCAAGCTTGACGCATGGTCCATAGCATACCGATTCGCTCGCAGAGGATAAAAGCAACAATAGCCCCCGGCAAACTGCCAA